CTCTATACCAATGTAAGTTTGCATGTTTATACGCCCACACAAGTCCTCAACCCCCCCCCCCCCTGACACGCCCCAGTGCGCCGCCCACGAAGCGCCGCCGGGGAGTGAGGCAGGCTGTTCCAGAGAGCGGACGCCACCCCCCAGAAGAGCGAGGAAGGTCGAGATTCCTGGAGGAGCGGCGAGTGGATGTGTTCTTGAAGCAGAAGCACCCCAGGGTATGACACTCTCTCTCTCTCTCTCTGTCTCTCTGCTGTCTTTGTCTTTTATTTTATTTATTTATTTTTTTTTTTTTTTTTTTTTGCTTCTTGCTTGTTCTTCGTCTTTTTTTATCTCTGTTTTGTTAATTTCTTCTCTCCCAGTTCTTTTTCTTCGTCTTCTTCTTCTCCTTTTTCTATTTCTTTCTTTCTTTTACTTGCCTCTTCTTTTCCTTTCTTCTTTCTCATCCTTTTCTTCTTCCTTTTACCCTCTTGCGTCTTCTTCTTCTTCTTCTTCTTTTGTTACTCCTTTCTTCCTCCCCTTCTTCTTGTGTCTCTTGAGATAAATGTCCTTGTTTGATTTACTCTCTATATTTACCTTTTTTGTCATCGTTAGAATTTTGCATTGTAGAAAATTAATGTAAAAAAACAACAAACATTCTAATTAACACAGAGAAAGAAGAATAAGAAATAACAGTCACCGCGCATATTGTACAAAACAGACGAAAATTTCATAGCTTACAATCACCTCCTGTGTTTCTGATGAACGACGATCCTATTATTTCAGGCAAAGGTGCACCAGGATTATTCATGCCTTCTGGTCTATGCGAACGTACGGAAGAGTATGAATAGATTTTATATCATTCAGATTATCAGACTGACGAAAAAATACATCTGCTTTACGCGCTGGGGAAGAGTGGTAAGTTAAGATATACGGACAGTTTATTTATTAAAGCTCAATGAATACTCCATTATACAGACGAGCATATTTACGGAAAAAAATGCATATCAGTCTATCTGTCTGATTGTTATATAATTATCAATGTATGTCCTGACTGATAGATATGTAATTACTGCATATCTGTAGGCCTATAATGAAATTCATTGGGTCAGGCCTCACACCGTGTAAACAAACCGCTCGATTGATTCGGATGACTCGTCTATCTCGTCCAGACCAGTTGGACGTTCTGACCGTTCGGAACCTCCACTATCTCGTCCTGTCGAGCCACTATCTCGTCCTGTCGAAACCTCCACTATCTCGTCCTGTCGAAGCGCTCACTATCTCGTACTGTCGAAACCTCCACTATCTCGTCCTGTCGAAACCTCCACTATCTCGTCCTGTCGAAACCTCCACTATCTCGTCCTGTCGAAACCTCCACTATCTCGTCCTGTCGAAACCTCCACTATCTCGTCCTGTCGAAACCTCCACTATCTCGTCCTGTCGAAACCTCCACTACCTCGTCCTGTCGAAACCTCCACTACCTCGTCCTGTCGAAACCTCCACTACCTCGTCCTGTCGAAACCTCACTATCTCGTCCTGTCGAAACCTCCACTATCTCGTCCTGTCGAAACCTCCACTACCTCGTCCTGTCGAAACCTCCACTATCTCGTCCTGTCGAAACCTCCACTATCTCGTCCTGTCGAAACCTCCACCATCTCGTCCTGTCGAAACCTCCACTATCTCGTCCTGTCGAAACCTCCACTATCTCGTCCTGTCGAAACCTCCACTATCTCGTTGTCGAAACCTCCACTATCTCGTCCTGTCGAAACCTCCACTATCTCGTCCTGTCGAAACCTCCACTATCTCGTCCTGTCGAAACCTCCACTATCTCGTCCTGTCGAAACCTCCACTAGCTCGTCCTGTCGAAACCTCCACTATCTCGTCTGTCGAAACCTCCACTATCTCGTCCTGTCGAAACCTCCACTATCTCGTCCTGTCGAAACCTCCACTATCTCGTCCTGTCGAAACCTCCACTATCTCGTCCTGTCGAAACCTCCACTATCTCGTCTGTCGAAACCTCCACTATCTCGTACTGTCGAAACCTCCACTATCTCGTCCTGTCGAAACCTCCACTATCTCGTCCTGTCGAAACCTCCACTATCTCGTCCTGTCGAAACCTCACTATCTCGTCCTGTCGAAACCTTCACTATCTCGTCCTGTCGAAACCTCCACTATCTCGTCCTGTCGAAACCTCCACTACCTCGTCCTGTCGAAACCTCCACTATCTCGTCCTGTCGAAACTCCACTATCTCGTCCTGTCGAAACCTCCACTATCTCGTCCTGTCGAAACCTCCACTAGCTCGTCCTGTCGAAACCTACACTAGCTCGTCCTGTCGAAACCTCCACTAGCTCGTCCTGTCGAAACCTCCACTATCTCGTCCTGTCGAAACCTCCACTATCTCGTCCTGGACAAGTAGTCTAGCTCGTCCAACTCGCCCCCATGCGAAGGTGGACGAGGTGACGTCACAATAGATTTTGTATGTAAACATTGACAGTTGCAGGTAACCACAAGATATTGGTGGGTAATTTTATGACCCTTGTGTTGGTGTTATCAAAGGATTTTTTTGTGTTGTGTCAGTTGCAGTTAAGTTAAATATGCATCAAAAGAGTTACAAAACCTATGCAGCGTATAAAATAAAGAACACCGTATGATAAAAAAAAAAAAAAATACATTCGACCGGCGGTTGCATTCTGGGCAGAAAGGGTCTTGGAGGTTCCGAACGCGGCCCACTTGTCCTGCTGATCCTGGACAAGGTGTCTGGACGAGCAAGACGAGCCAGTTTCGAACGCAGCATGAGGGGAATGATCAAACAGATTACTGCATTGGTCTATGTTAAACATTTAAGTCCATTAAAGTAATATATATATATATATATTATATATATATATATATATATATATATGTAAAAGTTAAGCAAATTTTGATATAAGACGAGAATATAGATCAATGAATCATCTTCCTGCATAATTTCTCATGTTCAATATGAAAAAAAACATGAAAATAAATAAATAAAAGCACATAGCAGCGAGAAACCAATAGACGATTTAACGGCTTCAGCGCAGACAAAGGAGATTCGCAATGTTCAAAATCATGCGCAGATAGAGCATTCTAAACAGATTCCAATTCCAGATGGAGCATTCTAAACAGATTCCAATTCCACAGGGAGAGAGAGGAACATGGTTTGAGTATGATGGGACAGACGAGGCAAATGCTGTAAAGAATTTCAAGGAAATCTTCAAAAGTAAAACCAGAAATAGCTGGGAAAGGAGACACGCCTTCAGGTCTTACTACCGGCAAAAATATACCTGGATTGAAATAGGTAAGGCGGTGCTGATGTCATGTCATGTTGTTATTTCATTATCATTTTTTATAAATTATAATGCTAATAGTAATAATCATTATGATTGATATTATCATTATTGTTGTTGTTATCATTTCATTATCATTATTTCATTATTATAATTATAATAATAATGATAGTAATAATCATTATGATTGATATTATCATTATTGTTGTTATTATTATTTCTATTATCATTGTTATTATCATAATCAAATCCGGATCCAGGATGGATAAGAGAATAACTCAAACAGTTATCAATTATTATGATTATTGTTATTGTCAGTCATTATTATTGTCATTATTATTGTCATTATTATTATCATTATTATTATCATTATTATTATTATCATTATTATCATTATTATTATTATTATTATTATTATTATTATTATTATTATTATTATTATTATTATTATTATCATTATCATTATTATTATTATTATTATCATTATTATTGTTGCTGTTGTTATTGTTGTTATTATTATCATTATGATAATAATAATAATTATTATTATTATGATTATTATTATTATTATTGCTATTATTGTTAATATTATTGTTATCATTTAAAATTATCCTCCTCATCATCATCACATTATCATCATCATCATCATTATTGTTATCATCATCCTCACCATCTTCATCTTCATCCTCATTATCCTCATCACCATCCATGTCGTTATCATTTTTCTATATTTTTATCATTATCATCATCATCATCATATCTTCTACTGTAATTATTAATGTGCTTTGATTATTTCATGATATCATTATCATTATCATTATTTCATGATTATGTTCATTATTTTAGTTATCATCAGTACAGGATTGTTATTATTATCGTGTCCTTGCTATTCGTATATTAGATAAAATTAAAACATAAGAACAGATTGATATATATTGACATATGATAAATATGACAAGTTGATTAAGACTGAATTGCAACCAAATTAATAAATAAGGATAAACTGTGTTTGCTCATGTCAACTTGAATTTCATTTTTCCCCTATTTGTTGATCATTTCAAGTCCATTGCAGATGAGAAGGCGGAAGAAGGGGGCGTGTCCTGCAACTTGGATCCGGGGACTTGCAAGTTGGTCAGACTTATCCACGCGAAGGAGATTCTGTGCAACAACAACAGAGAGGATAATAGACTCCCTTGTAAGGATAGATTAGGCCGTGTGGTTGCAGGTGACGGTGAAGTAGATGTCAGAATTTCTAGAGTTTTGTAAAATGGCGGCAAAGGGTTAAGGTTGCTGCGTCTTGTTAGGTATGTTGCGTCATGTGATGGGTTATAAGGGTGACTAAACACCTGTACATACATATAACACAACACGCAAACAAAACACCACACATATACGCGCACACATACGCACACGCACGTGCACACGCACACGCACACGCACACGCACACGCACACGCACACGCACACGCACACGCACACGCACACGCACACGCACACGCACACACACACACACACACACACACCACACACACACACACACACACACACACATATAATATATATATGTATATTCAAAAATGTGTGTGTGTTTCAGATGAAATGAGCAGGCTTCAGTGCCAGAAAAGGACTGCGCGTTCTAGACGAAATCGAAAAAGCTGTCAGTCGAAAACAGGTGAGATAAAGATGACATGACATTATGAAAAAGATTAAAGCCAA